TGTATGATGCCCCTGTAGCTCCCTACAATGAGGAAGATGATTCCACTGCCTTAGATTTACCACGACCTCCAGTGAGCACAGACGAAATCACTGAATTAATTGTTGATGTAAAAATGGGAAAATTGCCTGGCCCGGACAGGCTCCCAGCTGAACTACTTAAAAAACATGTTGATTGGTGGGCCCAGCCATTGGCTTCCTTATTTACGCTCATTGATCTTTACAGCAAAATTCCGAACACTTGGCTCAATTCAATAATAATTCCAATTTACAAGAAAGGTGGGTTTGACCAGCCCAGTAATTTTCATCTAATCAGCCTTTTATCTATTTTAGACAAGCTTTACGCTAAACATCTTGAATGCCGTCTACTAGATTGGATGTATACAAATGGTGTAATCGGGCCTGAACAGATAGGCTTCTGCAATGGAAATTCTGTGATTGACCACTGTCTCACATTGAACTTCCTAATACCTGAATTTAGGAAGGAAAAAGCTTTTTGTAGCATTTATAGATCTTAAAAGTACTTTTGACTCAATTCCGAGGGATGTACTATGGTCCAAATTGAAGAAACAAGGAATAGACCTGAGGTTGGTGTTCCTCCTAAAGAAACTGCATACAGACACCTCTTGTCAAGTTAAATATTCGACTAAGGGTCATTTAACAGAGAGAATACCTATGCAGAAGGGAGTTAAGCAGGTCTGTGTCCTTGCTCCTCACCTTTGTAATCTTTTCTTGAATGACTTGGCCCACTTCCTTAGTTCAGTTAATGGTCACCCCCCAGTCTTGGCGGTCTTCCTACTCCATTGTTACTTTACACCGATGATACCACAGTTTTTTCCTGCTCGAGGGTGGGCTTACGAAGATATTTGGAGGCATTTTATAATTATTGTCAAAGTAACTCACTTACTATCAATTTTTCCGAATCAAAATATTTGCTAAAAGATGGCATCTGGCGAGATGGTCTATGGGCAGTATAGAAAACGCCAAAGTTGAAGGTATACTATACAGGCTTCCTTTCTGAGGCAGCTCGTAGGGGCTCCTAATTGCGTCTCT